ATATTTAAAAACAAATTGCTGATTCTGCTAGATTTTTGTAATTTCCTTCGCTCATCTCATATGAAATGCTTGATTTACGTGAGTCCCCTCGCCTCCCATGTACGGGGTGCTTGATTTATGTGAGTCCGCTCCCAGCAAATACCAAGTTAATTTTCCACTTAACAATATAACTATAATATAACACATGTGTTATATTATAGTTATATTGTTGAGTGAGAAATTACAAGTACGTAACTTGGGTTTGTTGGGCTTGCTTCTCACATGTTTGAACTTTTATCTAGTTCTATGACTACTATGACTACATTAAGATCTTTTTGGTCTGCTCGAGATCCAGAAGAAATGAAATGAGCGAAGAAAGTAAAAAAAATGTAGCAGAATCAGAAATTTGCTTTTAAATATAATTGCATCATACGTGTGTGTGTAGGGGGGGGGGAGTGTATGGGATGTGGGTGGGTGGGTGTGTGTGTGCGCGCGCGCGCGTAAAAACCAATTGATGGTTGAATAAGTGGGTGAAAATAAAATATATATTATCGTTATCCCATTATTTGAAATATGTGCTTTTAAAGCTAAATAATAGCATTCTTCCTGCAAAAAACTTTTATTTTTTTAAATACTTGAATTTTCGTATGTACTTGAAAAATTACATATAAATAATTACATATAAAAATTACATATAAATAATTTTAATATTCCACTTCTATCTTCAGATTTTCTTTTTCCCTTTCTTCCTTCTTCATACTCATCTTTCCTTCTCTTCTAGTTCTTGTATTAAAATCTTCCCCTTATTGTTATCTTAATTCTATCTTCTCTTTCATTCATTCATTCTCAATTTTTCGAACTTCCTTTTTATATCCACATTTATGTACATTTATGTACATTTTCACTACTCAAACTACTCTTATTATATTTTATTATTTTCTATAATTCCCTATACGTCCTTTCTTCTTATTCCACTATATCTTTTCTGATCCCCAAAACTATTCCCTCCATTGCTCTTTCTTTCCTGTTCTTCTTTTTTGCCGCCTATATTTTCCATTTATTAATTTATCCTTTAAATTCCTTCTTGCTAATTCTTTTTTCCACGTTTCTATCATCACGATTACCCATCTAGGAGGGGAAGGGATATATACTTGGCGTCGATTTTTTACCTTTTTTAAAAAAGTTTTGTATGGATTTCCTAAATCATAACATTACAAAATATAAGTCTTAATTCTGTCTCTTCCTCCTTCTTTTTTCTTTACTTGCCCACCTACCTTTCTTTGTTTCCTTTATTTCTACTTCTCTTTCTTCTTCTCTCTTTCTTTCGCATTTCTCCTTTCTCAACTTCTTTTTCCTTTCCATTTTTCTTATTCCTTTCTCTTCTTCAATCTTCTATTCTTTTTCCTATTCCTTGTGCCTCTCTGCAATTCTCACTTCCTCTTCTCTTTCCCTCTCCTTCTCTCTTTTTTTGTTACTTGGCTGGACTGTTTTCTCCTACCATTCTTTTACTCCCTTTCCTCTCTTCATTTCACATCCACTCCAGATTCATATATACTTTATCCAGATTCTACCCGCTCCTAAACTTATCTTTCTTCCTTCCGCCTTCTGTTTCAATGCCATTTGTTGCAATCTCTACCTTATTTTCCGTTCTTCCCATGTCAGGTCGCTTCTATCACCTCTATGCACATATCCTCTTCTTTTAATTTCCATTTATTCTGCATGATTCTTCTCTTTTTGTTTTTGCTTTTTATACTCTCACTCTTACCATGCTTTATCTATTCCTCCTTCTCGCCTTTATTTTCCTTACTTCTTTTACTTACTAATCTTTACTTTTAGCCTTTTTCACATTTCTTTTACTCTTTTTTCTATATCTTTCTCCCTTTTCTTTTTTAATTGACATCTTTTTTTATCCTTTTTTTATTCCTTTTCTCCTTCATTTCCTCTGTTTCATCTCCTTTTTCTTATTTTTTTTTCCTCGCCTCCTCTCTCTTTCCTTTCTATTCTTATTCCTTCCAATTGTCTCTTCTTTTTTTATCTTTTCTTTCTTACTTTTAGATTTTTCTTCATTCTCTTTCCTTCTATCTTTATTGCTATCTTTTAATCTTCCTGCCTGATTTCTTCTCTGACTTCAGTTCTCTCAACTCTTTTCTAAATTCCTTAAACATTTTTCTTAAGATTTCTTCCTCCCTTTTCTACCGACGATCTCTTTATTTTTCTAACATTTCTTAAAAATCTCTTCATTTTTTTTCTTTTTATATCTTCTCCTGAACCCTTCTTTTTATAAAAATTTGCTAATTTGATCCTAGCTAACCAGAAACGGAAGTCTCTCGATAATTTCTTTTTTTTTTTTGAGAATTGAAAGTTCTAAGAATGTATTAATATTTAATATAATAAAACTTTTTGAATCACATAATTGTGGCTGCAGTATGATTACGTTAAAATATTTGCAACTTTAAACTTTTCAAAATTGTAATATAAAACTAAACGGTAACTTTTATAAAACTAAACGGTATTGAATATCAAAACTGCTACAAAGAATAATTATTCTTTTTTTAATTGTTATGTTTAATTAATGCAGTGAGTTCAAATAAGTAACGAAAGAAAATGAGACATTTAAAGAGATGGAAAGAGATGAAAACTTTAATTCAATTTTATAATCACGATAAATTATCGTGAATTGATAAAATCGTTAAATTTACAACATAGAACACAATTTATTGTATTTAGAAAACTTGTATAAAATTTGATTAATTTTGAGAATGAGACATAAAATCAATGTAAAAGATAATAATATTGATTAGTTTTAATTTATTAGATTTATAATTATATGGTCGATTTTTTATTTGTCGCCGATTATGTCAGAATTTGTAATATTCTCTTTCAATTGAAATTATTTTGGTTGCGTTTTACAAATTGGTATTCTTTTGTTGCAGTTGCACTGTGGTACTATTTAATCCACGACGAAACAGTCAAGCACACGTATTAAATGCTTGCCGGAAGACTGTGACTTCCCTGGCGCTTGCCGGGGATGGTAAATTCTTGGTCACTGGCGAATGCGGACATATGCCAAACGTCCGTGTCTGGGATATTTCTGATCCACACAATGCTGTGCAGATCGCGGAGTTTCCAGGACACAAGTATGGCATCAACTGCGTGGTGAGTACTGCCTGCAATGATTTTTTATTTTACCTTTGCTATCGAGCGTCTCGCACTTCGGACTCTTTATTTTTGTTGTAAGAGCTCGGCCTTAAGCAAATTATACAATAGATGTATAAGACAGGGTTTCAAAATTCACTATCAGTGTTGAAAATCTAGAATGCTTGTAACGTAAGCTATAGATTTTCAGTGCTGGCAGTGAATTTTGAAACATCTTAAAACATAAAAAAATCTTTCAATTTTTTGGAATAATGAAGTAACGCCAATATTTTTTTTATTTTAGGCGTTCTCACCCAGCAACAAATACGTTGTATCAGTTGGTTCGCAGCACGACATGATTGTCAATGTTTGGGACTGGCGAAATAATGTTAAAGTAGCATCCAATAAAGTTTCGAGCAAGGTGAAGGCTGTCTGTTTTGCGGAAAATGGCAATTATTTTGTTACCGTGGGTAACAGACATGTAAAATTTTGGTACTTGGAATATTCACGTAGCGCCAAGGTAAACTCTCGACTTTGTTTTCCATCTCACTGCAAAATAGAAATTATATTTTTAAATTCTTTTCTTGATAAAAAGATAGTCGATTTTATGCGATGTATTATTCTGCAGTACAAAGAACCTGTGCCTTTGATGGGCCGATCTGCTATATTAGGAGAACAAAGAAACAATGATTTCGTTGATGTAGCCTGTGGTAGAGGGGAAATGGCGGATTCTACGTACGCAATAACCAAAACGGGCCTGTTGTGCGAATTTAATAATAGGAGACTCTTGGACAAATGGGTCGAGCTTCGAGTAAGTTACTTTGAGTGATTAGGCTTGATTCTACTCGGTCGAATACAATGTGAAGCGGAAATATAGCGAAATAGATTACGATCAGTCTACTTTAAGAAAACTTTCTACCTTGTTGGCCGAAAAAATAGATCATTTTTAGTAATTTTTTTAATAAAAACTATTTAATAGGTCATTTTTAAGTTTAAGTGAAAGTGTTTAAGAGAAAGTGTCTCGATGGCGTTGTAACTTCTTTCCAAGTACTCTGAAATAAAAAACCAAAAAGTTGTATATAAAAATTATGCGAGTATGTGCAAAGTTGACTATACCTAGACATAAAAAAATTTCAATTAATTTTATAAAACGGCAATTTTATAAACAAAATCTGTTTTTTATAAAAAAAATTTATTTTTTGTTTATAAAAAAATATTGAATATTTTCTATTTTTTATAATCTATTTTGTGAAGAGTACTTTTTTACGTATGCATACGGAAAATGGAAGCCGATTGTTTTGTTAGTTTCAGAGATATAAGCTATATCAAAATTGTTTTTAAAAAAACAATTTTAAAGTTTCTTAGATTATTGAGTATATACGAAATGGAAATTTTTGTACTCATTGCTATTTTAATCAGCTATTCCAGGAGCATGTAATAAGCTTTTCTTGCTCGTTTTAGATTTTTTTTTCTGCGAGCTATTTTTGCCTCCTTGGAAAATTCTGAGTGATGTTTATTAACTTGTGTATATTAACTGATTATCTTTGTCGTCAGCCATCATTTTAGCCTGGAGGCTAATTTTAATTTCCATGATCTTATTATTATTAAGAAAGGAGTAGCCTTCATTGAAGAAACAAGTAGTCAGAAAAGTTGCGATTTCGATCTTTACAAAAAAAAAGAGATTTTCGAAGCAAATTGCTAGAAAACATTATTGTAGCTCTTATTATTATTTTGTATATGATTAAACATCTCTCTATTAAGTTTTCAGATGTAAGATCTTCATATACGGAACATAAAATTTTTAGGATTTTGTTTGAAAAAGGAATAGATTGATAATCATTTAATTTTTGTATGGCCACTTGCACTATGAATCTATTCCTAACGGACAATTTTGATGCATTGGATTTTCAAATCAGTCGAACGTTTAGTTGAATGTGGCTGATATTATGTTTTGTATATCAGTGACTCGAGTCGGAATGTCTCCTTATAACCAAACTGTAATATATTGACAAATCTCAAATCAATGTATCGGTTAAGTTTCTTTCGCTTTTGCATCTAATCTCTGCATGTTTTTTTTCTGAGTTTCGAGCCTATTTTCTTCTGTATATGTTCTGTACACTCTTTCTTTCTTTACTGGAAATTCATCTCCATATGGATTTTCTGCTAGATAAGTGATTTGAACATCTTCTTTACAGATTTCAACTTTGCGAATTCCAGATTAAAATTTTACAAACACATTCTTAATAATTTAAACTTTCAGAAAATGTTATTAACAAAAAAATGATTTTTGTAATTCAAGAAGGTAGAACATTCTTAATAATTTAAACTTTTAGAAAATGTTATTAACAAAAAAATGATTTTTTTTATCCAAGAAGGTAGAAAGTCCTAGAAGGTAGAAGATTCCTTTAAACTTTGATGGAACTTTAGTTTAGGAAATATATTTTCAATTATCCTTATCTTTACATATGTTATTAGGATCACGACTCTGAGTAACAATCAAAAGGTTTAAGCCGCCATTTATTATTCATTAAAAAGTTATTGACAAATAAAATAAATCATACAAACGTATATTGATGTCATAATTTACGCTTTATCGTAAGCATAAATTCTATTTTATTTGCATATACATGCATATATATTGTTTGAAAGAGCTTTTCGAGATGAGAACGCGAGGTCGTTGAGGTCTCTACGATTTTTTTTTTTGTAGAATTATGCTCATTTGAAAATTGGTGTTTTTTTGGCACTAGGGAGGCCCACGGCGAGGACATGAGGAAGATAAGCGCATGTTCCTGAGGATAAAAATGCATGCGGAAGAGCGCGCGCGCTCGTGTGTGTGTGTGTGTGTGTGTGTGTGTGTGTGTGTGTGTGTGTGTGTGTGTGTGTGTGTGTGTGTGTGTGTGTGTGTGTGTGTGTGTGTGTGTGTGTGTGTGTGTGTGTGTGTGGNGTTGTGTGNGTGNGTCGNGNGTCGNGTGCGNGTGCGGTNGCCGNGTGTGGTGTGTGGTGTGTGGTGTGTGTGTGTGTGTGTGTGTGTGTGTGTCGTGT